TCATCTTCCACAGCACTCCCCTTGCTAGGCAAACAGAACCAATTCCAACCCCCACCTACCCCTAGTACCCAGCCTTCAATCAAGCTGCTGTCGCGGACTCAAATTCTACCCATCTGTCAAAGCCCTGCGCAGCACCACCACCTCTGAGTCCTTCAGGGTTCCTCCTTCCCCCTTCCTGAGCGCTCCCTCCCCCTCCCATGGGTAACAGAACACCAGCTCTGGAGCAGAATGCTGGGTTCCACTCCAGCTCCCTCACTGCGAGCTGTGTGACCTCGTTGCTGCAGTGTCCCCATCTGCAAATGGAAATAGTAACAGTGTCTTACTCATAGTTTTATTGTGAAGTTTAAAGGACTGCAGATATATAAAGTGCCTACCTCAGTCTCTGGCACATATTAATGCAATACAGAACTTTTTAAAAAAGCAAAAGCCTTTATTATTATCACTACTTACTTCATTTATCTGTCCAATCTTGTGCCACTATTTTCTATCTTATCTGACTTAGGTACCTATATTAGCTCCCTTACTACTCTGAACATCCTTGCAAATGCTTAGTTTGCTACCTACAGACAGTCACTATTAGGCCACTGAATGAATGAATGAATTCTAAATGGTCATACTTACCCTCCTATATAATAAAAGCCTAATATGCAAATTGTCCCCAGGACCGGGAGTTTGAACAGGGGATGGCGGTGGCAGGAGGCCTGGGGAAAGGAGGCCCCCCCAGCCAGCAGGGGTGGCAGGCAGCCAGGGGAAGGGAGGCGCTCTGGCTGGCAGCCGGCAGCCGCTAAGGACCCTACCCATGCACGAATTTTGTGCACTGAGCCTCTAGCCTTCCATAAGATCCACATTTAATGTTTAAGGAAAGATAAAAAAAGATATTAAAGAAGTAGAACTTTTCACGTAGAGCAATATTCTCAAAGTGTGCTGCCTGGACCAGCAGCAGCAGCAGCACCTGGGAACTTGTTAGAATGCTAGGCCCCAGCTACTGAATCAGAAACTCTAAGAGTGGAGTCCAGCAACTGTTTGAACAAGCCTTCCAGGTGATTCTGATGAGCCTGAATCCGGGATCTGTAGAGCCGAAAGCAACATGGAATCACAGGATGAGCACTAGATCAGGAGTGGATTCTGGGTTTACCTGTCATTGACCTTGCACAAGTCATTAACCTCACAACTTCCTTATAAGCAATACAGGGACTATAGCACTCAAACAATTAAATGTTGTGAAGATTAAATGAGATCCCATGAGCAGAGTTTGCATATAGTAGGTGCTTAATAATTATAAGTTCCTTTCAGTTTTCTCCCTGTGTCTCTCACAGGGTTGTAAAGACTAAAAAAAAATTACTGCAGTAAAAGAGTTCTGCGCACTGCCAACGGTCATAGCAACCTGAGCAAGGACTAGTCATTCTTGGTACAAACAGCCACGCTAGCATCAAACGCCTAGCGTTCATGGGGCACTAGGAAGCGGGTTCTGTCCACCCCACCCAATTTACAAACATAACCCTGCAGCAGAGAATCTCCTTACAGGCTCATCAAAGCAGAACTATGGGGACAACAGATGGTCCTTCTCCCGCCCCCAATATTCTGGTCAGAATCACTGTTCTTTTCATGCAAATGAATCCAAGTCTTGGGAAAGGATTATCTAAAAAACGTTTTCCAGCCACAAGAAAAACCGCCAACACTTTCAGAGCACATGGACCTGGCTTAGGGAACTCGCGACCTATCACATCCAACTCCCAGTGGTTGGTCTTGGAGGGTTGGGATTAAGACAGTCACACTTTGAAGCCTGTTTCAGAAGAGAAAAGGTGGAAATCAAAGTAAGTAATCTTTCTTTCTCCATACTTAGTCTCTTACACCACTGCTGGCTCTCTCTCTGAAGCGCACATCCTACTCGGGAACCACCTTCCAGAATGAAGAGCAGGTTGGATGCAAGAAATGCAGGCTGTGCATGTCAGACTGTGGGCTTAGCTGCTGCTCGAGATGGGCAGACTATGTGCTCAACCACATAGCACCAGGTTAGAATATCCGCATGAGGCCAGGCATGAGACGGAGTAATAGTTACTCTGCTGACTCTGCTACTATGAGCCTAAGGCTTTGCAGCTCCAGAACACCTTTGGCGGCATATTACCGCTACTGAAGGGTCCCTAAGAGCAGCTTGTTAATATTTCTGTCCCAGAGCCTGGCACCCAACAGGCACTCAAGAAGCCTACTGAACTGGACTGATGGACTTAGGTGTGAGCCCCATGGACCGGTTGAGGGGTAGTCTTTTATGAGTGAGGAAAATGAGTGCAGAGAGACTAAAAGTGGAAGTTAGCTAAAGAATGTAGTCTTTGGTGTCACCCACCCAGAACGGGGCTTCATACTGGCCCAAACCCAACTTGCCTCCACTCCCCACAGCCACCTCTGTTCCACTCAGACTGGTGCTCACAGATGTGCCCACACCTTCCCCCCACCCCCACCCCCACCCCCCCACCCCCAATTTACCTGTCTCCAGGCACAGGGTATCCTCTTCTTTGCCTCTGGAATCCTCACCCATTCTCATGAACAGCCCTCAGACCCAAGGAAACCAGCCCCATCACCCTGGCTCTTCTGAATTCTTTTGGACTCCTAACAGCACCGGCAAGCCCACTACACGACTGAGCGCTTAGCCATGGAGTGGCCTTCTCTCAGTCGTCATTGTTCCATGCACCTCTGTCCTCCCTCCCGATACCATAACCCCCTGAGGACCAGGCAGCTGCGAAACCCCAGCTCCCCCTCTTGCCAGCCAGTCAGTCCCTTCACTCCTCTGAGCCTCAGTGTCCTCTCTCTGATGTGGAAAGACAACAGCATCTTCACAAAGCAGCTGTGAGGAGCACATAATGGCTGGAGAATTGCTTTGTGTACCCCATAGCTGCTGCTTTAATCATTAGCTTTGTTGTTTTATTTCCACATTCCCTTCCCTCCCAACGCCCTGGGGCATACTTTTAAAAGAATACTAACAATACTAAATGTCCTGAAAACCACTTTTACACTCTGTCACCACAGCACAGAATATACATTAGCACTGAACTGAACTGTGAGATTCCATAGGTATTGCCAGGTGACTGACTAGCAAGCAGGAGGCTTCACTCTGCCGGCAGGTATGGTTTTTTAAGTGATGGGGCCTGCAAGGGTACTTCCTCACAGGTCACAGACGGGCAGCTGTCCCACACAGCCTCTCAACCTAACTGTATCATTCTGTTATTAACAGTGACAGCTACAGTTTATTGAACCTCTACTATGTTCCAGGCACTAAACTGTTTTACAGCCATCAGTTCACTTAAACCTCAGGGCTCTGTGAGTACAAATCTCTCTCTCCCTCCCTCTCTCTCCCTCCTTCTCTCCCTCTCTCTCTCAGCACACTAAGGCTCAGAAGGGTTACACAATTTTCTGGGGCCCCACAGCCAACAAATGGACAAGGCAAAATTCAAAAGCCCTGTCCTCCTGACACAGCACCATGTCCTTTCCATCGGATCTGTATCCCTATGTCCCTGATATTTGCATATTTTAAATCCCCTTTAATTTCTACCTCTCAGCTGCCTTGGCATTTCACAGGTGTACAGCTTCCTATTGTAAAGGAAATAGAAAAGAAAAGACATGCCCTCCCCCAAGCTTACTGGCTCCCTCCAGTAACTGGCTGGAGTTCAACACCCAACGGAGAAAACGTGTCTGGAACATGGCTGCAGTGACAGAGCACCCGCGGAAGGGAAGAGGGGCGACGGGCGAGGGTGAGACTCTAGGGACACGTAGCGTGTAAAGGTGAGAAGAGACTTTCCAACACCCAGGGACCCTCACCCCTTACCCAAGATGTTACAACACAAAGACAAGAAAGGTTCCCAAATGCCAGTCAGCCAACGGGAGAGGCCTCCCTAAAGGCTGAAAAGTCCGCTGGACGTTCTCCATTAGAGCGAGAAATGAGTGAGCACGGCGGCCTGAGCCAGCCAGGCCTAGGGATTCCCAAGGGAAAGACCCTTGACCACCTTCCACCAACAGGCGGAGCCCAGCTTTAAAGGCAGCTCATCCACACTCCTGACCCGGCACCTGGCATCGCTCCTGCCTGGGGAAAAGGCCAACTTGCTTTGTCGTGAGGAACCCCAGCCGGTGGCCGGTTTTCCTTCGCCAGCGCTGGGCCCTCCTTACCAGGACGGCGGGCCCTCGGGCGCCCCTCCCCCGTGGCGCCGGCGGCCTCTCCAGGCCGAGCAGGCCGGCGAGCACCCCTCTGCACACGGCACCCGAAGATCGCAGCTCCGGCAAGTGTCCCATTGCAGGGAGCAGCAGTCAACGCGCAGAGACGACCACGGGGGATCAAAGCGTTAGGATTTGAAAGCACTTCCATCTCCCCTCCACGCACCTCACCTGACAGACAGGGCAAACGTCAAACCAGAAAGGGCAGTGACTTGCACAAGGTCACAGGGAGCGCCCAGGGCTCTAACCATGAAACAGCACGGCCTCCCTCCTTTCCCGAGGCAGCGGGCCCGCCGCCGCCCCCCTGCCCGGGGAACCACCCTCCGGGAACCCCGTCCCCCCTCTCCGCACCCCACCCCCCGGCCCTCGGCCAGCTGGCTGAGTGACAGTCTCATCAGCAAGCCTGGAGCAGGCCACAGTCTCGGGAGGGTGCCCGGGGGAAGGGCTGCTGGGGCTGGAGAGGAGGGACAGGGGCGAAGGGAGAGGGTGTGGGGAAGCGGGGGGCGCACGCAGTGGCCTCTCCCAGGAGCCGCCCAGCCGCCGGCACCACCTCTAAGGTACCAGGAAGGGCTGGGCCCCGACGGGTAGGGACGCGCAGAGGACCTCCACGTCCAAGGGGGGCCTCCGGGCGCCGCCTGGCAGAATGGCGCTGGCTTGGTGAGCAGGCCCAGCCAGCGGGTCCTCAGAGGCGCGATGACAAGGATGCCCGGCCCGCCCGCGGGGTGGCACCAGTGACCCGCAGAGGCCGCGGTCCCCGCCGCCGCCGCCCACCCGGACGCCCGTCCTCCGCGCGGCCTTACCGAGGCACTGCCCCACCGGGGTGCTGAACGGGTTCCCCAGCAGGAACTCCATCTTGGGCGGACAGCACGGCAGCGGCCGGCGCCCTGTCAGCCGCCGGGGTCTCCGCAGTCCCCCTCTCGCTCCCGACCTGACTGACACCTGCCCCCGCCCCACCCTCGGAACGCTCGGCTCCCTCCGCCTCCTGCCGCACTCCTATTGGGCAACGCCTGCCCGGCATTTCTCCGATTGGTCCCCACACGAAGACCCACCTACCCCCGGCGCCCGATTGGGCGAAGGAGCAAGCGAAGTCGCCGGGATCGCCGTCTAGCGTAGCGGCACCTCCCCTGGCCCGCCTCCGAACGAGTCTGTGTGTTTTGATTCATCTATATATTGGTCAATCTAGAATCCCTACTATTATTGGAGAACAGGAAAGTCAATCACTCAAGTAGGCGCAGGAAAGAGACGAGGCTAGAAAGATCCCCGCCCATGAGAAGTGCTGATTGGAGGAACATTTGTTTTCTCTAAAGCTGGTTGGTGACAGGAGTATTTCCCCACCCAGAAATGTTTTTACGCGACTTATCAACTTTCACCCAGGATGTTTACTTCTTAACTTCCCCTTAGCAACGGAGTGGCGTCTTCTGGCTCTCCTAGCAACTGAGCGGAGCGACTTTTGCGCGAACCAGCCGGGTAGCCTGCGCTTGAGAAGGTAAGACCCGGGAGCTGAATCTCTGGGAGGACTGGCAGAGCCAACAGCGCCCGACTTAACTCTTTTCTCTGACTTTTTTCTCCGAGGTACCTGGCCCAGCCCTTCTCATCTGTAAAAACGCTAGCCCTGGGCTTTCAAGCCTCTGGATTAGAAAGAAATACTAAGGAAGCATTTCCTCAGGGGGCAGGGCCCGAAGAGATTTTTTAAAAAATATTTTTTATTGATTTCAGAGAGGAAGAGAGAGAGAGAGAAACATCATTGATGAGAGAGAATCATTGATCGGTTGCCTCCCGCACACCCCATCCTGGGGATGGAGCCTGCAACCCAGGTATGTGCCCTGACGGGAATCCAACTGTGACCTTCTGGGCATTGGTTTGATGCTCAACCATTGAGCGACCCCGGCCGGCCGTCCCGAAGAGATTTTTAAGGGGTTTGATCCCCTAGGCTTCTGGCCTGATCCCTTTCTTAGAGAGAAAGGAACCTGAAAGAAAAATCCACTGATAACTTCTTCAAGAATTCAACTCTTATATCCCACTTCATAACTGTCATTAAATTATTTCTCTTATTTTTATTCTTCATCTTGGTGCTATTTAAAGAACTTTGGCTGGGCATATGGATACCCAAGTTCCACGTCTGTTCCTTGTCAGTAGATACTTGTATGACTAGACAATTTCCTTTCCCTGATGAGTCTTAGTTTTCCTACCTGGGAAATTAGGGCACTAGGAATCTTCTGTAATGGCCTCCAGAGCTGACGTAATTAAATAACACTTGTGCACTTGGTACAGAGTAAGCACTCAGTAAAGTAAACTGTTTATTTTTCAGATCCAGTTGATCCCAGATTGTTGTTTCCTAGGACAATTCTGGATCTGTTTCTTCCTGAGGAGGCTACTCCATTGAGGCGCATTCTCTACCTCCTACCTGTGGTCTTCACCAACAGAACTATCAACAGGCAAGACAACAGGAACCCAGGTTGGGTGGTAAATTATGAATAAAACCCTCTAGACTCTAGGGAGTCTAGGGAGGACTGCTTGGGCCTTGACCCTGACGCAGAACAGCTGTGGAAAACATTATGGGCAGTGACAATGATGGTCTACAGTGCCCTGGGAACAGCTCATCATGATTAAGAAATGCCTCTGGAGTCATGTTCTCCAGCTCTGCTATATACTAGATGTATAAACTTGGGCATGTGACTTGACCTAACTAGCTTCCATTTTCTTATCTGAAAACTGCAAATGACTAGTCCTACATATAAAATAAATTCCTAGAGATCTTTCACATCCACATCTCACCACCTCCTTGGTCATCTCTCACTTCAAAACTCTTGTCATTCTCAGTAGTACAACCAGAGTGAGCTTCTTTTTTTTTTAATATATTTTTATTTCAGAGAGGAAGGGGGAGGGAGAGAGAGATAGAAACATCAATGATGAGAGAAACGTTGACCAGCTGCTTCCTGCACGCCCCACACTGCAACCCAGGCATGTGCCCTGATCGGGAATCAAACCATGACCTCCTGGTTCATAGGTCAACACTCAGCCACTGAGCACACTGGCCAGGCAGAATCTTTTTTATATGACTTCTCAGTTCAATTCAACGCAGATTTGGTACACTACCAAGTATGAAGTACCTTTGCAAGAGAAGGGGGACTCCTGTCTCAGCAGGCTGAGGTTGTCTTCTGTCAGATATTTTTGACCAATATGTATGAGAGAGATTCTTCTGCCCCAGAGTGAGCTTCTTAAAATTAAAATCTTATCATGTCACTGCCCCTGCTAAGCCCCAGGAGCTTCCCAGAGCTCCTGTAGGCCTCTCCAAGCTTGTATCACTTCAGCCAAAGTGGAACATGTTCTCTTCCCACATCAGGGCCCTCACTGTGCAGTTCCCTCTCCTTCTTTCTACTCCTCCTTCAGAGCTCAGCCCCACCTCCCTGGCCAGGCCAGGTGCCCCTAATGCATGCTCTCATAGTTCCCGACACGTACAAATTTGTCATAGTTTCTAATTAAACATTTGTATGACTATATGATTTATTCTGAAACAGAGATAAGGAGATCTGTCTGTTGTAATCATAACATGTAGATATTCATTACGTGTGTGTAGACTAAATAAATGACCTTAAACAAATGTAGGCGGGAGGAATTATTCATCTAGTATAGATGGGAAATTCAAGGCTTAGCCAGGTGAGGTGAGTTGCCAAAGGATGCAAAGTCGGGGTCTAAATCCTGTCCTCGTGGGCTAGGCAGCTGCCCCACATGGCGATTGTTGGGCTGGACTGAAAGCAGCTTGATCTGACATAGGTGCCAGGCCTTGATGTGGGAGGGATGATAAGTCAGTTGAAGTTTTGAAATCAGAATTAAGAATAATTTTCCCAAGTACAGCACCTTTCTTTGAAAAAGCACAAACACCTTGCAGGTAATATCTGCCAAATACAGCACATTAAAATGTCCCCAAAGGCAACTTGGTGTCAAGTTATGGGAAATTTTAGAAAAATTTGTTTCAGAAGAGTAGGGATATAGAGAAAGGCAGAGGACTGGAAACATCTTTTGTGGGCAGGAGATGTAGCCAGTGTTGACAAATGGGAGGAGCGGGAAGATGGGAGGTGCAGATAGAGGCTAGGCATGGGGGAGGGTCGGAGGGATGGGGTTGGGGTTAGGTGAGGCTGTGCCTCCTCTGGGGGGAGAAGGAAAGGCCGCATGAGAGCTAAAAGCATGGGACATCTGATCATGCAAAATCCAGAAATGGAAGATGCATATTTACATAAGCTGCCTTCAATGGATGGTGGGGAAGGAGCGGGGAGGGTAGCTGGGCAGTGGCAGTCTAAGGCCAAGTGGCAGGATTGCCAGGCCCATCGGGTTTGTGGTGCACACCATCGCCACCAGCACTCTCTCCAAACAGAACCCAGTGGATAAAGGGCAGAGGACAGGAGCTGTCGGTGTCAAGGGCTAGCAGAGCAGGGAGGACGGGAGGTGCAGGGAGGCCCTGGTGTTGGGGACACATGCAGACAAAGATAGCAGGTGAAGTCAGCAGTGAGGTGAGAAGCAGGGTGGAAAGTAGGAGGGAGAACTGAGTTTGCAGAGGTTCAGGAGGCGGGATCTGGGGAGTGTGTCTTCCTGCGGCCCAGTCTTCGGGATGTTCTCACTCAGAGGGCTGGTGATGAGAGGAGGTCAGATGCGCCGGCTTCCCAGGGCTGTGGCTCTGCCCAGCCAGGAATGGCAGCTCGGTCATCCTCACAGTGTGACTGACCGAGTCCCCAGCTCCCCACTTTGCCTGCGGTATCTCAACCCAATTCCTTTGGACCATTAACAACAGAACCTCCTGGGTTAGTTTAAGTGAAGGAGGATTTGATGCCAGAAGTAGGAAACTCTCACGGGGCCTGAAATCAGGGACATTAGGGGCTGGAAAGCCAGCAAGAAGAAGGCAGCCTCTGTCTGTGCCAGTCTGTCTGTCCTTCTGTCTATTTTCCCCTGGATCCCCCAGATTCCCATCTCTGCTTCTCTCTGTTCATCCGCCCCACTTTCTCCCCAGCTCAAGCAACCAGCTCTGGTGGGCACTCTTATCCTGAAGCCCACGCTCACATTTCTCAGGGGAAACATGAATGACCAGCTTGGGTGGGTGTCCTCCTACACACTGGGCAACATGAGGGGGGACGCTGTGGGGAGGCGATATAGACATGGCTGTCCGGCTGGCTGAGGCTCTCAGAGAAGGCAGCTGCGGGAGAGTGTGCCTGGCTGGGGCTGCTGAGGATAATGTTCAGTGGTTGGCACCAAGAAACCTGAACAAGGGTGGGCACAGAAGCCCAAGGCCCAAGGTGACCACGGCCATAGGGAAGCTGAGCTCCAGAGGATAAGAGACCAGTGTGGCACCATCCACTTGTCCGGGGTAGGATCACAGCTGTGGTTGTGGGGCCAAGGAAGGGCACCAGGCAGGATGTGCATATGTGGTTGCCCGGGGAAGCCCTGGAGCAGCCTTAGTGCAAATGTCCTAACCCCCCGGTGTAGGGGGCCAAGCAGTGGGAGGAGGGCAGCGTTTGTGTGTCCTTACCCGCCACAGTGCTCCCCAGCACTTTAAAAGGATGCCCACCAGCCCCTGTCCTCAGACAAAGGGAGAAGCAGATTGTGGAACACAAACGTAATGTTTTTTAGGGAAGATGAACCGGCTGTGCAACTCACTGGAGCCAAGAGTGATGAACGACGACATGCTTAAGCTGGCTGTCGGGGAGCAGGGCCCCCAGGAGGAGGCTGGGCAGCTGGCCAAACAGGAGGGCATCCTCTTTAAGGACGTCGTCTCCCTACAGCTGGACTTCCAGAGTGCGTACCCTGGCCGGGCAGGGCACCAGGCAGGGCCCCCTGACTTTCTCCAATCCACATCCCAGCCCCAGAATTCCATGCAAAGTCCGTATAAAAAGATAAAATTCTCCCATTCCAAATCTAAGTGAACCACAGAGGCCTTAGTGTCCTCGGGGGGAGGAACCTAGGAGGGTGGTCCCAAGCAGTCAGCACGGCTGTGGGGAGCGGGGGGGAGGAGGATGTACAGCTTTGGAGGAGGAGCAGAAGACAGGAGTGGCACAGGGCCATAGGCAGGGAGCTGGGCAAGAGTGGCCGGGTAGCCTACTGGGAAGATGTGGCTGGGGACCAGGTAGAACCTCGGTGCCTCAGTGTCCCCATCTGTGAAATGGGATCATTGTAGTCTCTGGCCAAGGGCTGGTTGGGAGGACAAGGTAAGACATGTGCACAGTTTGGGTTCATTAAAAAAGGCTCGTGAGAGCTGTGAGAGGAAGCAGGAGAGATGGGCATAGAGCCTGCAGCCCGGCATTGTGCGTGTTAGAAAGAAGCGAGCCCCCAAACCAAGGGTCCTGGTAGAACACAAAATGATACTTGGGAGCCAACAGCAAGGCAGTATCTTTACTCCTGCAGGAAGGGCGTGCAGCCAACACAGGGTTTTATCCCTGACACACACCATCTGTCCCTCATGATTGGTCAGAGTTTAGGCTCACATTCTTGTGCTAATTTAAAGGAAAAGGGGAGGGGTTGACCTTTGCAGTTTCAAAATGGCAGTTGCCTAAACTCCCTTCTTTGACAGAAAAGATTACGTACTTGTTTATTCTCACAATTCTCACATGCAGGCGGGCCACAGTGGAGGGACTGGTCAGATTCATAGTCCTGCTCTGTCCTGGGTTCCCAGCCGGCCTGCTGAGCCATCTGCTCAACAAGAAGGAATTCTTTTTTTTTCTTTTCTTTCTTTTGACTGGTTTTGGTGGGGGGTTTCTTCTATTTTTAAAAAAATTAAATTGACTGAAGTAGCATTGGTTAATAACACTATAAATTTCAAGTGTACAACTTTATCAGCATTTGTACACTCCAGCATGTGCGCACAGCCCGCAGGCTCCGCTCCTTCTGTCACCATATATTTGATTTCCTTTACCCTCTTTGTCTTCCCTGAGGCCCTGCCTCAGCTGGTCTGGGCCAGACCCTGGGGGCCCAGCAGTGGGCAAGGCCCTGACCCCAGCCCACAGAGCGCACAGGCCTCCAGGGTGACCCCAGCTCTGCAGGGGCTGGCCGCCCAGAGCAGTGAGGGCCCTGGCCTCGGTGGTGAAAGGCTAAGGGGTTGCAGAATGGCTGTCACCAGAGGGAGCTTTTGCACTGCCCCCTTCCTGATGCTTCCCCTCCCAGCCTGGGTTCCTTCCGCCAGAATTTATCAAGTGCCTGTTATGTGCCAGGTGCTTGTCTAGGTACTAGGCATTCAACTGTGAACAAAAAAGTAAAAAAAAAAGGAAGAAGAAGAAGAAGCCTGTCCTCATGGAGCTTGACATCCAAGTGAGGGACACACACAATAAAACGGAGGGAGAGAACAGTGTCCGCTGAAGGTAGCTTGTGCTGTGGAGAGAAACCACTCAGGAGAGGAGGAAGGGGGCCTGGGGGGGGACGCAGTGTTTTATCGGTTGGTGAGAGGCCTCACCCAGAAAGGTGACAGTTGAGCAAAGACTAGAAGGCGGGAAGGGAAGGGGCCACGCGGAGATGCAGGAAGGTGCTGACTGCAGAGGAAGCAGCGGGCACAGAAGCCCCGCGGGGCAGACCTGGGTGGAGACAGGCAGAGAGTGGCGGGTCAGCTAGCACCGGCCTGGGGGCTGTAGAGGGAGTGTGGTTTGTACAGTGAGCGAGCCGGGAGCCTCGGAGGGAGGAGGGACAGGGATTTAGATTTTCACAGGGTCCCACGGCTGCAGGAGGATAGACGGTGGGGCCTGGGGAGCAGGGAGTCTAGGGGGCACTGCTGATGGGCCGAGACCGAGGCGGTGGCAGTGAGGAGGGCTCTGTGTCCACGTTGAAGATAATGGGCGTTTGAGGCAGTCCTGTCCTGCTGGTGGCTCGTTCAGAGCTAACTGCCAAGTAGATCCTGATTTTGTTGTGTTGTTTGGCTTTTCCACACGAACTGCTGATGTGTGGGGAAAGCCAGCACGCAGGGGTGCCCAGCCAGCACCCAGAAGTGTGCGAGCCACCCTGAGGAGTGGTGTCTGCAGGTCAGCTGCACCCAAGGGTCAGGCTCAGGCTCAGGCCAGGCTCAGAGAAGGTGCCTGGGAAACCCAGACCGGGATGGGAGGTGCTGGCGTCTGGGGGCCCTGGGCCACCCCAGAAGCACAAGTAGGGGTGGTGGCCGAAGCAGCCTGGGGAATCTGGTCAGAGAGCTAAAGAACAGACCCCAGTGCTACCTGGCCCTGGGGCCCAGGAGAGGCAGGACTCTGGGTCAGAGAGACGCTGGCCCCTCCCCCGGCACCACCACCACCACCCACCCCCCCCCCCACCCCCCGGGGAGACATGGCTGGAAGAGGGCAGTGGGGAGGGTGCTGTGTCTCTCCCAGGACCTCAGTGAATATCGTCCCCCTGAGTGAAAACTGAAACTGCTGCCCCAAATATGTGCTTATTAAGGGCACCTTCTCCCCGCTTCGTCTTACAATGAGCATATTCTAAGTTTCAGCAGTTACTACAAAAGCAAATATAGAGCAAAGGGGCATGTAAGCAGTAGAGTTATTTGTAGCTTCTAGAATGAACTGGGGACACGGTCAGCCCTCCAGAATTTTACATACACAGAATACACTTATTCAGACTTCAGGGTTTTCAGGACCCACTGGCTGCAGCCAGAGGCCACAGTGCCTTGTGTGTGTCCGGCGAGACAGCGAGTTGGCCTGTGACTGTGATGGGGGCCTTCAGGGACCACAGGGTGGGCGCTTCTGTGACTCATGGAGCCTGCCTGTCACTGTATGACAACACCCCCATATATGGCATTTGGGGTCCCCCTATCTTTCTGCCCATCATGTTCCTAGAGGTATTTCTTTGGGCATATACACAAGTGTGTCTTTGCAGACAGATTCCAAGTAGAGAAACTGCACGGTCAAAGGGCACAGACATTAAATATCTCCGTAAATGTGGCCAAATTGCCCTCCAAAACGTCTGAACTAGTCGACTGACCCCCCCCCCCCCGCCCCCCGCCCAGTGCACAAGGAGGCATTCACCCTGCAGCCTGGATTCCGTTTGTCACGCGGCAGAGGGAAGGCAGGCGGCCCCCGGCCTGTGCCTTGTGCCCCAAGTTGTCTGGCGTCCTGGGCAGCCCTCAGCCTGGCCCCGGAGGCCGCACGAGTCCTGTGTCCTGAGCTCCTGGTGCTTAGCCCAGTCAGGGCGCCCACAGGGTCTGGGGCCTGCGTGTGCGTAGCATCAGCTCAGTCCCCCAGGACACTGCTCTAGACTCTAACCTTAAGCCGAGGCTGGAGCCAGCGGCGGTCTCCGCGGCCTGTTTCAGACATCCTCCGCATTGACAACCTCTGGCAGTTTGAGAACTTGAGAAAGCTGCAGCTGGACAATAACATCATCGAGAGGATCGAGGGCCTGGAGAACCTCACACAGCTGGTCTGGCTCGGTAAGGCCCCTTCGTGTGTGTGTGTGACCGCCCGAGTTCAAGGCGACCCCGCCAAGATCACCCTCGCCACGGTGTTTGTCTCCCTGGCAGTGCCCTGCGAGCCCACGGACAGCAGAAGCTCTGTCCGCCGGGAGCAAGAACGCTGTTCTTTTTATTGTTATGGTTCCTTTTTTGTTAATCTTCACCCAAGGATATTTTTCCATTTGATTTTCAGAGAGCGTGTAAAGGAGGGAGGGCGGGGAGAGAGATAGAGAAACATGGAAACATCCGTGTGAGAGAGACACATGGATTGGTTGCCCAAACCTGCAACCCAGGTACGTGCCCTTGACTGGGAATCCGGAAGCGAACCCACAGCCCTTCCCAGCATGGGCCAGTGATCTAACCATCAAGCCACACTGTACAGGGCTGAAGCTGTTCTTTTTAAAAGCCCGGGCCCTGTGTTGGGTAAACACAGCAGAAATGTGCTTGGATGCGCCAGGACAGAGTATTCCGTCCCAGCTGCCAGCCTCCGGTTTGGGAGTGGGTGGTCGAAGGAGCAGCCCTGGGTTCCTTGTGGTTACTGCGCACAGGCTGACAGCTAACTGTGGGTCCCACCACTCATGGGGGCTCCGATCAGACCCAAAAGAATCATCACAGTTGCTAGTTGCACTGAGCACTTATTTACTACCTGCTAAGCATGGGCCTCCATGTGAGCTATTTTAATGCACACAGCAGCCCATTGTAGAGATGAGCAAACTGAGGCCACAGCGAGTGGTGGGGGCTTCTGGCTCCCAGCCCAGCTCTGACTCTAGAGCTCTGGCCCTCACTGCTAAGACCGCAGGGTCCTGATGACCCGTGTCCGTCTGCTGAGCTAGGAGGCAGCCTCCCCGCTGCTGAGGGGCAGGTGGGCGCCTGGAGGGAGAGGAGCTGGCTGGGGAGCCCTGTATACCTGCTTTGTTTCACTCTTACAGCAAAAGACCCGTTACAATCCCAATCCATAGATGAGGAGGGACTCCGAGAGGCCCAGGCACTTGCCCAAAGCTCCACGACCAGAGCTGCTGGGGTGCAAACCCAGGCCTGTCTGACCCGAAGTCGGGTTCCTTCACCCCGTCAGGCTGTGTCCCCGTAGCAGGAGCCCGGCACAGCGGGGAGCCTCCAGGTGTGCCCAGCAGCTGGGCTGAGTGTGCTGCCAGCTGCCAGCCCTCGCAGCCCCACAGCCCGCTTAGGCTGCAGTTCGCAGACACAGCGGCTGAGGCGGCAGGCAGCTGAGGCGACCCCAGCCAGGGCTCCTGTCTGCTGGCGCCTCCGCCCCAGGCCCCGCCTCCGGCACTCTGGCACTCATTCCTGCTGAGTGGCCCAGCTGCCTCGCCACAAGTCATCTGCCTCTCTACAGGGGTGGGGAACGTCCGGCCCGCAGGCCATGAAAGGCCTGAGAGATCATTTGGTCTGGCCCTGCCAAGGCATTAGGGGTGAGTTAATTAAATGTCTGACCAAATACAGCAGCCTACTTTTTAAGTTGCTAATTATGTCTGGCCCGCGAATGATGTCATAGATACCCACAGGGCCCCGGGTGGAAGAAAGGTCCCCCACCGCTGCCCTAGGAAATGAAGGAGGAGAAGAGGGCGCTGGGTCAACCAGGCCCTGAGCCATGCCCCCTCTGGAAGGCCTGCCAGGCACCAGCTGTCTGAATGGTGGGCTTTTAGGCAGAGCTACCAGCCCAGCCGTCCCTCAGATATAAAACAAGTGCCACAGGTTCCTGGGAGGCGCTCCTGTGATGCCCAGGACTCCATGGCACAGGGTGAGAAAGCAGAAGGGGAGATTTCTGGCAAAAGGTCAGCATGCACCCCTCAGAGAGTCAGAAACCAGCCTTTGCCCAGCCACGGCACTAGTAGTCCAGGGACCCAACCGCAGGCAGGAAGAGCTGGTCCCTGGGCTGGTTCAGCAAGCCCCTAGCTACGTGTACCCACTGCTGGCCCCCGCAGTCAGCTCCGGGTGAGCGGGTGCCGAGCGGCCGGAGCAGGCTCTGGAGAGCTGATTTGCACATCTCACCACGTTTGCATTCAGGATGTCTTGTTGGTGCCTGACATTGGCCGTGGTGGCAGTGCTATTCCACAGCTACCGGCAGCACAACAAATCAGAGCACCCCTCGCTGGCCCCATATGGAACATCTACCTGCAGCACTGGTTCTAGGGGGGTGGCCAGGCCTCTGGAGAGCAGACCTGGCTGCCCGCTGGGAAGGGAAGTGGGCAGGCGTGGCATTTAGCAGGCCCCAGTTTGCATCCCAGCTCAGCCAAGTGCTAACCAATTTTGCACCAGCTGTTCCAGCCCTCTGACCCTCAGCTTCTCTGTGTGCTCTGTGCCCTCAGGCATATCACCACCAGGCCCTTTGAGTCTGGGTTTCCTCGTCCAAAAAATTAGGTGGTGATACCTCTGCTATGAGGATTCGATGAGGTAATGCACTCAAGGGCCTAGCGTAGCTAAAGGGACACTCAGTTATCCTTGATCCCAGCCGTCAGCAGGTCAGCATCCCCGACATACCACCGAGACTAAATGAAGATGTGGATACACTTACTTTCCACAGCACCTTTTTAGTGTGCCAGCTTGCAGCTACCATGACTGTATTCCCAAGCTCATGAAAAATTCCCAGGTTGGGCCCTAACTGGTTTGGCTCAGTGGATAGAGCGTCGGCCTGTGGACTGAAGGGTCCCAGGTTTGATTCTGGTCAAGGGCATGTACCTTGGTTGCGGGCACATCCCCAGTAGGGGGTGTGCAGGAGGCAGCTGATCGATGTTTCTAACTCTCTATCCCTCTCCTTTCCTCTCTGTAAAAAATCAATAAAATATACATATTTTTAAAAATTCCCAGGTTGGGCCTCTGGGCCATTGCTATTCTAGGACAGAGTTGCAGCCCAGCCCCGACTAAAAACTGTCCATTTTAGTTCCAAAGATGTGAAGTTTGGGCTAGAGAGGACCAGGACACCTCAGCTGGGATGCGTGGGCTTGGGGGGAAGCTTGAGTTGGTCGTGCTGTACCTAGAAGGCCTGACCTGCAGCCTGTCTGGGGGGAGCCCTCTGGCACCAGTAGTTAGCTGTGTGGCTTTAGGCAAATCACCAAGCCTTTCTGAACTTAGCTTCCCAATTGAGCAAATGGGGAGATGTGGGGAGCCGGCACGGCCATGGCATACTCATGCCAGCTCAGCCTGGTTCAGTGACCCTGAGTGGGGACGATGAAAGGCTTAGAAAAGACAGACAAGAGAATGACAGCTGGGTCTCGGTGGGATGCTGCTCCCTGATGAGGAGACAGCGCCAGCGCCCACAAGCCGTGTCTTTATTTTATAGCAGATGCCACGAGGCAATGTAAGGGCGTGATCAAGATGTTTACAGCATTCTCGTGGGTTTCAACCTCACTCAACTACATGCACCTGAACTCTATCACTCAGGCACCTGGGGCCATGTGTTTGGACCATAGGTTAAGCTTACAGCTATAGCTGTTGGCTATAATTGTGCTGGGAGGGCTCTGCCCTCCAGCTGGGACTTGCACGTGGCTTGAACCTGTCCAAACACTGTAGCCGCGCCCCACAGGGAGAGAAGTTCCAGACTGCCACTCAGAGCTGCTGTCTGGGGTGTACACACCAGCAGCTGGTAAACTGGTGAGTGCTGAGCAGATGCCGGGCATCACTACCAAATGCCTGTAGGTGGGCAAAGGGGACACGGCACCTGGCTCCCCGCTCCAGACCTGCCAGTCAGCATGTCCAGCTCAGAACAGCAACAGAGCACGGACATGAGCATTTGCCCACGTGTCCCGAGCCAGGAAGGTGAGGGCAGAACTGGAGAGGGCGAGGACAGTTCGACTCCATGCACAGCTCTGTCAGACAACTTGGTGCTGGCTCAGAGCGCGTAGGGAGCCCAGACGGGTTTGGTTCAGGACGGTCCACCCCTAACTCATCACTCAGCCCTCTGGCCCTCTTCCTTCCAGACCTGTCCTTCAACAACATCGAGGCCATCGAGGGGCTGGACACACTGGTGAACCTGGAGGACCTGAGCTTGTTCAACAACCGCATCTCCAAGATCGACTCTCTGGACGCCCTGGTCAAGCTGCAGGTGCTGTCCCTGGGCAACAACCAAATCGGCAACATGATGAATGTGAGTGAGCTCAGGCCCAGGGCGGGGCTGGGGCTGGGGCTGGGGTCTGTGCCAAAGGGAAACGCAGGGTCAGTCTTTTAGATCTTCCCCTTTTCCTAGAGAAGCCAGAGACGCAGCTTATTTCACAAGAGATGCGGTAATGTTTAAACAACACGCTTCACCATGAAAGGCCATCTGTGGGTGCCAGTTTGTGCCCTGCCTTGGTGGGGCCTCTTTCTTTCCCTGAGCCCCAGGCTCACTTAAAAAGCCGTTGCTGAGGCAAGGACCTGCTCGGGGGACATCTGGCCTGTGCTCAGTGGATACAGAGACCCGCAAGGCACAGTCCCTCAGGGACGCCCAGACACATCTACTAATCAGGACACACAACATGACAAGAAGCTGGTGTCCACCCCGGGGGGCCTGGGGTGTGTACGTGTGAGGGGGCAGAGGTCATTGGTCATTTGGGGGAAGGTTGGCTGCCCCCCTGTCTATTCCCAAGATCCCAGCGGCTGGGGATGGGGCAGGGACAGGCCCACAGCTGGGAACTGCTTCTCCAGCCGGCCAGTCAATCCTGGGAGCTGTCCAATACCCTTGCAAGATTCCTCTTCTGCTTCCGTCAGTTAGGTGGCCTGGGTCCAAACCCCAGCTGCATGCCCTAGGGCTCAAGCCTTCTATGCCTCAGTTTCCTCATCTGTAAAATGGAGATAATGGCCATAAGCCACCTGCCAGGAATTGAGTGAGGTGATGGACATGAGTCACCTCATTCAGTGTCAGGCTGGAGTGCGTTCTTTCTTTTTTTTCTTAACCATCACCCAAGGATATTTTTCTTTTGATTTATAGAGAGAGAGTGGAAAAGAGGGTAAGACGGAGAGAAACATAGATGTGAAAGAAACACATCGACTGGTTGCCTCCTGCACGAGCCCTGACCAGGGAGGAGCCTGCAACCAAGGTACACGCCCTTGACCAGAATTGTACCTGGGACCCTTCGGTCAAGTTGATGCTCTATCCACTGAGCCAAACTGGCTAGGATTGTTCCTTTTTATATATAAACTAGAGGCCCAGTGCATGAAATTCGTGCATGGGTAGGGTTCCTAGTGGCTGCCGGCCAGGGCCTCCCTTCCCCCAGCTGCCAGCCAGGGCGTCCCTTCCCCTGGCCACCTGCCACTGCTGCCGGCCGGGGCGTGGCCGGCTGGGGAGAGGGGCCACAGGCGGTTGGCTGGCCGGCCCTCCTCTTGGTTGAACTCCCGGTCGAACTCCCGGTCAAGGGGACAATTTGCATATTAGGCTTTTATTATATAGGATATATTTTCATTGATTTCAGAGAGGAAGGGAGAAGGAGAGAGAAGCATCAATGATAAGAGAGAATTATTGATCAGCTGCCTCCTGCACACCCCCCACTGGGAATCAAGCCCACAACCCAGGCATGTGCCCTGATTGGTAATTGAACCATGACCTCCTGGTTCATAGGTTGATGCTCAACCACTGAGCCACACCAGCCGGGCTGGAGTACATTCTTAACAAAGGGAGGACTGTCGCAGCTGAGATCCTCCCTGAGAAATTCATTTGAACCTCTAGCCAGGCTCACCAAGAAACACAGAGAGAAGACCCAAATAAACAAAAATCAGAAATGAAAGAGGTGAAGTAACAACCAACCCCACAGACATACAAAGGATTGTAAAAAAATACTACAAACAACTCTATTCCAACAAATTGGACAACCTAGACAAAATGGACATATTCCTAGAAAAATACAAGCTTCCAAAACTCAATCAGGAAGAATAAAAAAAAAAAAACCTGAATAGGCCGATAACTACCTATGAAATTGAAGCAGTAATAAGAAATCTTCCAGCAAACAAAAGCCCTGGTCTGGCCAGCTTCACAGGGAAGTTTTACCAAACATTCAAAGAAGAATTAAAACCTATTCTCCTCAGACTATTCCAAAAAAAAATTCAAGAGGAAGGCACACTTCCAAGCTATTTCTATGAAGCCAGCATTACCCTGATCCCAAAACCGGATAAAGGCACTACAAAGAAAGAGAATTACAGGCCAATATCCTTGATGGACATAGATGATAAAATCCTCAATAAAATTCTAGCAAATCAGATCCAGCATTATATTAGGAAGATCATACACCATGACCAAGTGGGATTTATTCCGGGGATGCAAGGTACAATATCCGCAAATCAATAAATGTTATACATAATGTAAACAAATTGAGAGACAAAAATCACATAATCATATCAGTTGATGCAGAAAAAGCATTTGACAAAATCCAACACCCTTTCTTGATAAAAACACTCAACAAAGTGGGAATAGAGGGATCATACCTCAACATAATAAAAGACTTATATGACAAACCTACAGCCAACATCATACTCAATGGCAAAAACTAAACTCATTTCCCCTAAGAACAGGAATAAGACAGGGATGCCCACTTTCACCACTCCTGTTCAACATAGTACTGGAAGTGCTAGCCATAGCGATCAGACAAGAAGAAAATATAAAAGGTATCCAAATTGGAAAAAAAAGAAATAAAACTGTCCTTATTCACAGATGACATGATATTGTACATAGAAACCCTAAAGATACCATCAAAAAACTACTAGACTTAATAAATGAATTTGGCAATGTAGCAGGATACAAAATTAACACCCAGAAATCTATGGCTTTTTTATACACCAATAATGAAATCATAGAAAGATAAACTAAAAAAAAAAAATCCCATTTACCACTGCACCAAAAAATTAAGATACCAAGAAATAAACTTAAATAAGGAGGTAAAAGACCTGTACTCGGAAAACTATAGGCCATTGAGGGTGAAGCCAGGATTGGGGGGATGAGGGGACATTGGGGGGATAAGGACACATTTGTAATATCTTATTCAATAAAGGGGGGAAAATAAATAAATAAGTTTAAAAAAAGAAAAGAAAAAAGAGATAGAGCAGTGGTTCTCAAACTTCCTAATGCCTTGACCCTTTAATACAGTTCCTCATGTTGTGGTGACCCCCAATTTCATTGTTACAAATTGAACATAATTAAAGCATAGTGATTAATCACAAAAACAATATGTAATTATATATGTGTTTTCCGATGGTCTTAGGCGACCCCTGTAAAAGGGTCGTTCAGCCCCCAAAGGGGTCTCGACCCACAGGTTGAGAACCACTGAGATAGAGGAAGACATAAACAAATGGAAGAATATACTATGTTCATGGATTGGTAGAACCAACATCATTAAAATGTCCATACTACCCAAAGCAATCTATAGATTCAATGCAATCCCCATTAAAATACCAATGGCATATTTCACAGATCTAGAATAAACTCTCCAAAAATTCATATGAAATTTTAAAAAGGCCCTGAATAGCTGCAGCAATCCTGAGAAAGAAGAACAAAGTTGGAGGGATCACAATACCAGGTATCAAGCTGTATTACAAAGCCACTGTTCTCAAAACTGCCTGGTACTGGCACAAGAACAGACATATAGACCAATGGAACAGAACAGAGAACCCAGAAATCAACCCAAGCCATTATGCTCAATTAATATTTGACAAAGGAGGCAAGAGCATACAATGAAGTCAAGATAGTCTCTTCAATAAATGGTGTTGGGAAAATTGGACAGATACATGCAAAAAAAATGAAACTAGACCACCAACTTACACCATACATGAAAATAAACTCAAAATGGATAAAGGACTTAAATGTAAGACGGGAAAATATAAAAATCTTAGAAGAATCCATAGGCAGCAAAATATCGAACATATGTCATAGCAGTATCTTTACTGATACAGCTCCTAGGACAATGGAAACTAAGAAGAAAATGAACAAATGAGAATACATCAAAATAAAAAGCTTCTGCATAGCAAAAGAAACCATTAACAAAATAACAAGAGAGCCCACTGCATGGGAGAACATATTTGCCAATGTTATATCCTACACGGGTTTAATCTCCAACATTTATAGGGAACTCATACAAATTAACAAAAGAAAGTTAAACAATCCAATTTAAAAAATGGGCAAAGTACCTAATTAGACACTTTTTGAAAGAGGACATACAGAAGGCCAAGAGACATATGAAAACATGCTTAAAGTCAGTAATCATCCGAGAGATGCAAATCAAAATGACAATGAGGTACCATCTCACACCTGTCAGAATGGCTATCATCAACAAATCAACAAACAACAAATGCTGGTGAGGATGTGGAGGAAAAGGAACCCTCTTGCACTGCTGGTGGGAATACAGACTGGTGCAGCCAATGTGGGAAACAGTATGGAGTTTCCTCAAAAAATTAAAAATGGAACTCCCATTTGACCCAGTGATCCCACTTCTAGGAACATATCCCAAGAAACTAGAAACACCAACCAGAAAGGATATTTGCACCCCTATGTTCATAGCAGCACAATTTACAATAGCTAAGATTTGGAAACAGCCTAAGTGCCCATCAGCAGGTGAGTGGATTAAAAACCTGTGGTACATCTATACAATGGAATACTACACTGCTTTAGAAAAGAAGGAACTCCTACCATTTGCAACAGCATGGATGGACCTGGAGAGCATCATGCTAAGCAAAATAAGCCAGTTGGAGAAAGATAAATATCACATGATCTCACTCATTTGTGGAATATAATGAACAACATAAATTGATAAACAAAAAGAGAGCCAGAAAAAAATATATTTTAGAATACAATAGAAGCAATCCTGTTGTTTGCAGATTTTTAATATTGTCTACAACTTTGGTGATATTATAATATGTTAATACAGTTTTGGTAATATTATTTAAAATCTTTTTTCTTGAGAACCAAGATGACAGCATAGGTACTTGCTGCCTCTCACAACCACATCAAAATTACAACTAAAAGACAGAATACAGGATCAACTAAAAGACAGAATACAGAATCATCCAGAACTGCAGGAAAGCTGCTGAGTGGAAGTACTACAACCAGAGAGGTAAAGTAGAAAGTGCATTGAGACTGGTAGGAGGTGTGGAGGCGCAGAATGGGCTGGCACCTGGGTGTGCTGCTAT